GCATGGACACCATGAACCAAATTTTCCCCTGAAATAGGGAACCAATCACAGAATGGGGAGGAAACACAGGCGCATTTGATAAACTTTCGTAGCACCCAATAATACGGCTCTGGGCATTCGTAAACCATGCCTCAAATACAAGAAAATGAACATGTGGTTTCCAGACCACGTCTCATTTCTAAAGGATACATGGTCTGGCGTTAGCCAGTTTAGGAATAAATGACACTTTACACTATTATTTCGAAGACAACAGCTATTCTAATTTGGAATAATATTTCACATTTTGTACTATTTTTGATCAAATGAATACAGCTTTCAAAAACATGAACACATACAGTATAAGAGCATAACAGTAGAAATGCTGGATCATTTTAAGAATACGGCAGCTATTGTTTGCTGAAAAAGGCTTCCATATCATTGAAACATAATCCTGCATGTCAAACTCTTGGTTAGTCTGAATACACAGGCTAGAATAGCCAAAACATCCACCATTATATTCGCAGGATTAAGCATTCAACAAAGGCCGAATTCTGAACAGCAGAAATAATACTAGTACTAGTAAAGTAGAATTAAGCTCAATATGGGCATTCTATGTATGTTCCAAAAGGGTAAAAAAACAAGGACAATTGAATCTTAAGAACAAACGGTAACACCCAGTTGGATAAACTCCACACTCATGCAAGTCTGGAGAATCATGACTGTTAATGAAAAGGGAGGGATTATCGTTAATTAGCCAAAATTGGTAGAGTACAAAAAACCAAAGGGCAGCATCTCAACAGTGTGACTAGCTGTTGGACAATGGCAGGAAGTTGGTGTGTTGTTCAGTTTCTGGCACTTTGTGTTTGGTTCTGTGCGTTCTGTCATGCTGTTCCAAAGTGGAGTAATCTGAATCAAAGTCCTCAAGCTCTGATGTTCCAGCAAACTGACCAGCGGGTTCAACAGCAAGCTAGTCAGCAGTTTCCTCAGTCAGTTCAAGCTAGTCAGCAGTTTCCTCAGTCAGTTCAAGCCAGTCAACAGTTTTCTAAGCCAGTTCAACAGCAATCAAGTCAGTGGTTTCCTCAGTCTGTTCAACAGCAAGCTAGTCAACAGTTTCCTCAGTCAGTTCAATGGCAAGGTAATCAACAGTATCCTAAGCCGGTTCAACAGCAAGCTAGTCAACAGTTTCCTCAGTCCGTTCAACAAGCTAGTCAACAGTTTCCTCAGTCCGTTCAAGCTAGTCAACAGTTTCCTCAGCAGTTTCAGCCAGTGGCAAAGGCAGAGCCCGTTGACAAATGTGCTGTGGCTGATTATGAGCAGATCCAGTGTGGACCGCCTGGTATCAGTGGTGCTGAGTGTGCAGCTATTAACTGCTGCTTTAATGGACAGCAGTGTTTCTATGGGAAGGCCGGTAAGAGTGTAGAGTCAATGTAAAGGTGTTTCTTGTTATACCGATCCTCATCAATAACCAGCTCTTGTACCTTGTTCCAGTGACTGTCCAGTGTATAAGAGATGGTCAGTTTGTGGTTGTGGTGGCTAGAGATGTCACTCTGCCCCGTTTGAGCCTGGATTCAGTCCGTCTCCTGGGTGGAAATGATCCAGCTTGCAGTCCTGTGGGATCCACACCTTTCTTTGCCATTTACCAGTTCCCCGTCACAGCGTGCGGCACGAGCGTGATTGTGAGTAGCTGCTTGTGGTTTTGTTCTGCATGGCTTCGAATGGATTGGATGCCAACAGTGTTACTATTTGCAGGAGGACAGTGGGTATGTGGTGTATGAAAACAGAATGACCTCCTCGTATGAAGTTGGTGTAGGACCACTTGGCTCCATCACAAGGGACAGCCATTTTGAGTGGGTGATGTATGCTTCAGCTTGTTTGTTAATCCTTGGCAAATGCTACAAGCTCACTGTTTGTTTTCCAGGCTTCTCTTCCAGTGTAGGTACTCTGGTACTTCTGTGGAAGCTCTGGTTGTGGAGGTCAACACTGTTCCTCCACCTCCACCAGTAGCTGCTCCTGGACCCCTCAGGGTGGAGCTTAGACTCGCAAATGGTCAGTGTGTCACCAAAGGCTGTGCAGAAGGTGAGTATTTGACCCAAGAGTGTGTCTGAAGCTCCAGGTTGTAGTGGTTTCTGGTTAAACACTGAGTTCTTCCTCAGGGGACGAGGCGTACACGTCCTACTACAGTGACGCTGATTATCCTGTTACAAAAGTCCTGCGGGAGCCTGTGTATGTTGAGGTGCACGTTTTGGAGAGGACCGACCCCAACATTGTTCTGATGCTGGGACATTGCTGGGCGACGTCAACCCCCAGTCCACTCAGTCTACCCCAATGGGACCTTCTGGTTGATGGGTGAGTACGGCCAGTCTTTATCCATCTAGTGTGCTGTAAGGAGTTTCTGATTCCCTCTTTGCCTTTCAGATGCCCTTACCAGGATGATCGTTACCTGACCACATTGGTTCCAGTGACTGGATCGTCTGGTCTTCAGTTCCCGACCCACTACAAGCGCTTTATTGTGAAGATGTTCACATTTGTTGCTCCATCATCACTGGCTCCTCTGCAGGAAACCGTATGCTCTGCAGCCTTACCTCAACCCTTAATAGTGCTTCTTATAGTGTACTCTATGGCTAAACCTTTTCTCCCTCTGTTAGATCTTCATCCACTGTAGTACAGCAGTGTGCCATCCCTCTTCTGGCTCCTGTGAGCAAAGCTGCGCTAGGAAAAGTGAGTGCTCGCTGTAAACCGACTTGAACCGTGAGAATTTGCTGTTTAAATGCTCCTCATGCTTCTACCACTTCTCTTACAGGAAGGGACACTCCCATCAAGACCATCTCTAGTGGGCAAACTGTGGTGTCTAGTGGAGAAGTTAACCTGGTCATGTGAATTTAAATTTAATAAACTGGTATTGATGTTCAACGAATCGGCTCTTACATGACTGTTCTTGGGTTTTGTTTACTTGACCACACTACTAAAGTTCCACTTGTGCTTTAGAAAGGTGCTTCATTCTGATTGGTGCTTGATTTTAGCAAAACCAGCCAAACTTCTGCCCAAGCCATTTCACTAACCTACTTGCCAAGCTCCAGTTGCAAACCTGGGTTCCCATGCTTCTGTAAAGCTCAATATTTTATATAATAATAATTCATTACATTTATATAGCGCTTTTCTCGCCACTCAAAGCGCTTTACGTAGAGGGGGGATCTCCTTAACCACCACCAGTGTGCAGCATCCACCTGGATGACGCGACGGCAGCCATAGTGTGCCAGAACGCTCACCACACACCAGCTTACTGGTGGAGAGGAGACCGTGATGAAGCCAATTAGAGTAGATGGGGATGATTAGGAGGCCATGATGGACAGAGGCCACTGGGCAAATTTGGCCAGGTTGCCGGGGTTACACCCCTACTCTTTCGAAAGACATCCTGGGATTTTTTTAATGACCACAGAGAGTCAGGACCTCGGTTTAACGTCTCATCCGACGGCTGGTGCTCTTTGACACAGTATAGAATCCCCATTAGTATACTGGGGCATTAGGACCCACACAGACCACAGGGTGAGCACCCCCTGCTGGCCTCACTAACACCTCTTCCAGCAGCAACCAGGCTTTCTCAGAAGGTCTCCCATCCAGGTACTAACCAGGCTCAGCCCTGCTTAGCTTCAGTGGGCAACCAGTCTTGGGCTACAGGGTGATATGGCTGCTGGTATATACTGTAGCAGGGTGCAGACTTTTTCTCACAGATTATTTTGCCAAGGAATAACAATGGTAATTGTGAGTTTCTTGGAATTGTGACTTACAGTATTTTTGACAAATAGATCCTGCATATGTGTAGATGATGTTTTGTGTTCACATTAAAGTGCCATAATTTGGATAAGGGAAGAAATTTCTCAAATGAGAATAAAATGATTATCTGTTTAACCATCATTGTGCAGCCCTACTTGTTGTGTGAAGGGCTTTTAAATCCCTTCATTGCATTGAAATAATCAATTTCCATATGTCTTGTGATACTTGTTTGTGTGCATCTACAGACCACAGTGAACATAGTCAGGGAAGTGAGTCCCAATCTCAGTCACAAACTCAATGCTGGCAGACTGTGGCAAAGCATTGATGGTAATCAATGTTTCTTGAGCAGCAAATCAGCATATTAGAATGATTTCTAAAGGACCATGTGACACTGAAGACTGGAGTAATGATGCTGAAAATTCAGCTTTTATCACAGGAAAAAATTAGCGTGGGTTTCCCCATGCTGCCTTGCTGGAGCGTGATTTTATTCACGCTGTTAGGCAGCATGGACACCATGAACCAAATTTTCCCCTGAAATAGGGAACCAATCACAGAATAAGGAGGAAACAGAGGCGCATTTGATAAACTTTCGTAGCACCCAATAATACGGCTCTGGGCATTCGTAAACCATGCCTCAAATACAAGAAAATGAACATGTGGTTTCCAGACCACGTCTCATTCTAAATGATAAATGGTCTGTTTAGGAATAAATGACACTTTACACTATTATTTCGAAGACAACAGCTATTCTCATTTGAAATAATATTTCACATTTTGTACTATTTTTGATCAAATGAATACAGCTTTCAAAAACATGAACACATACAGTATAAGAGCATAACAGTAGAAATGCTGGATCAATTTAAGAATACGGCAGCTATTGTTTGCTGATAAAGGCTTCCATATCATTGAAACATAATCCTGCATGTCAAACTCTTCAGTCAGTCTGAATACACTAGAATAGCCAAAACATCCACCATTATATTCGCAGGATTAAGCATTCAACAAAGGCCGAATTCTGAACAGCAGAAATAGTACTAGTACTAGTAAAGTAGAATTAAGCTCAATATGGGCATTCTATGTATGTTCCGAAAGGGTAAAAAAACAAGGACAATTGAATCTTAAGAACAAACAGAAACACCCAGTTGGATAAACTCCACACTCATGCAAGTCTGGAGAATCATGACTGTTAATGAAAAGGGAGGGATTATCGTTAATTAGCCAAAATTGTTAGAGTACAAAAAAACAAAGGACAGCATCTCAACAGTGTGACTAGCTGTTGGACAATGGCAGGAAGTTGGTGTGTTGTTCAGTCTCTGGCACTTTGTGTTTGGTTCTGTGCGTTCTGTCATGCTGTTCCAAAGTGGAGTAATCTGAATCAAAGTCCTCAAGCTCTGATGTTCCAGCAAACTGACCAGCGGGTTCAACAGCAAGCTAGTCAGCAGTTTCCTCAGTCAGTTCAAGCTAGTCAGCAGTTTCCTCAGTCAGTTCAAGCCAGTCAACAGTTTTCTAAGCCAGTTCAACAGCAATCAAGTCAGTGGTTTCCTCAGTCTGTTCAACAGCAAGCTAGTCAACAGTTTCCTCAGTCAGTTCAATGGCAAGGTAATCAACAGTATCCTAAGCCAGTTCAACAGCAAGCTAGTCAACAGTTTCCGCAGTCAGTTCAATGGCAAGGTAATCAACAGTATCCTAAGCCAGTTCAACAGCAAGCTAGTCAACAGTTTCCTCAGTCCGTTCAACAAGCTAGTCAACAGTTTCCTCAGTCCGTTCAAGCTAGTCAACAGTTTCCTCAGCAGTTTCAGCCAGTGGCAAAGGCAGAGCCCGTTGACAAATGTGCTGTAGCTGATTATGAGCAGATCCAGTGTGGACCGCCTGGTATCAGTGGTGCTGAGTGTGCAGCTATTAACTGCTGCTTTAACGGACAGCAGTGTTTCTATGGGAAGGCCGGTAAGAGTGTATAGTCAATGTAAAGGTGTTTCTTGTTAAACCGATCCTCATCAATAACCAGCTCTTGTACCTTGTTCCAGTGACTGTCCAGTGTATAAGAGATGGTCAGTTTGTGGTTGTGGTGGCTAGAGATGTCACTCTGCCTCGTTTGAGCCTGGATTCAGTCCGTCTCCTGGGTGGAAATGATCCAGCTTGCAGTCCTGTGGGATCCACACCTTTCTTTGCCATATACCAGTTCCCCGTCACAGCGTGCGGCACGAGCGTGATTGTGAGTAGCTGCTTGTGGTTTTGTTCTGCATGGCTTCGAATGGATTGGATGCCAACAGTGTTACCATTTGCAGGAGGACAGTGGGTATGTGGTGTATGAAAACAGAATGACCTCCTCGTATGAAGTTGGTGTAGGACCACTTGGCTCCATCACAAGGGACAGCCATTTTGAGTGGGTGATGTATGCTTCAGCTTGTTTGTTAATCCTTGGCAAATGCTACAAGCTCACTGTTTGTTTTCCAGGCTTCTCTTCCAGTGTAGGTACTCTGGTACTTCTGTGGAAGCTCTGGTTGTGGAGGTCAACACTGTTCCTCCACCTCCACCAGTAGCTGCTCCTGGACCCCTCAGGGTGGAGCTTAGACTCGCAAATGGTCAGTGTGTCACCAAAGGCTGTGCAGAAGGTGAGTATTTGACCCAAGAGTGTGTCTGAAGCTCCAGGTTGTAGTGGTTTCTGGTTAAACGCTGAATTCTTCCTCAGGGGACGAGGCGTACACGTCCTACTACAGTGATGCTGATTATCCTGTTACAAAAGTCCTGCGGGAGCCTGTGTATGTTGAGGTTCACGTTTTGGAGAGGACCGACCCCAACATTGTCCTGATGCTGGGACATTGCTGGGCGACGTCAACCCCGAGTCCACTCAGTCTACCCCAATGGGATCTTCTGGTTGATGGGTGAGTAAGGCCAGTCTTTGTCCATCTAGTGTGCTGTAAGGAGTTTCTGATTCCCTCTTTGCCTTTCAGATGCCCTTACCAGGATGATCGTTACCTGACCACATTGGTTCCAGTGACTGGATCGTCTGGTCTTCAGTTCCCGACCCACTACAAGCGCTTTATTGTGAAGATGTTCACATTTGTTGATCCCTCATCACTGGCTCCTCTGCAGGAAACCGTATGCTCCGCAGCCTTACCTCAACCCTTAATAGTGCTTATAGTGTACTCTATGGCTAAACCTTTTCTCCCTCTGTTAGATCTTCATCCACTGTAGTACAGCAGTGTGCCATCCCTCTTCTGGCTCCTGTGAGCAAAGCTGCGCTAGGAAAAGTGAGTGCTCGCTGTAAACCGGCTTGGGAACCGCGAGAATTTGGTGTTTAAATGCTCCTCATGCTTCTACCACTTCTCTTACAGGAAGGGACACTCCCATCAAGACCATCTCTAGTGGGCAAACTGTGGTGTCTAGTGGAGAAGTTAACCTGGTCATGTGAATTTAAATCTAATAAATTGGCATTGATTTTCATTGAGTTGGACCTTGCATGACTGTTCTTGGGTTTCATTTATTGGGCCACAATACTAAACCAAAGTTGCATTTGTGCTTTAGCAAGGTTGTTCATTCTGATTGGTGCTTAACTTGAAGGAAACAAGCCAAGCTTTTGCCCAAGCCATTTCATTGAACAACTTGCCAAGCTCCAGTTGAAAACCTGGGCTCCTCTGCTTTTCTAAAGCTCAATAATTTATTTAGCTGGGCGCAGACTTTTTTTTTTCTTTCTTGTGGTTTGTTTTGCCAAAATATAATGGTAATTGAGACTTATTTCACAATTGTGGGTTTCTTGGTATTGTGTTGCAGTATTTCTGGCAAAAAATAAACCCTAAGTTGACGTTTACATGAAAGCGCAGTAATTCTGACTTCTCAAATAAGAATCATCAATATCATTTTAACCATCATTGTGCAATCCAACTTGTGTGAAGGGCTTTTAAATCCTTTTATTGCATTACTATAATCCATTTCCAGATGTCTTCTGATGCTGATGAGCTCAATTGGCCCATGCCAGAACCCGTCTAACGGAGAGCCTTGGCACTTCCTGTTAGCCCCATTGTGCATCACCTTGGTTGCAGTTCCATTAGAATTCCACTGGAGGTGATCATGAGCGAGTGCAGAATGAATGGGAGTCTATGGGGCTAAACGGCTAAATGTGTCTCTTTCACCTGCTTGTCATTAAATAAAAATAGATTTTATTGTTGATTCTGCAAGTTCAAAATAGATTATAGGCCAAAAGTCAAATAAACGAGTTCTTTTGTCCTTTAGATTTCTTACAGGTTAGGCCGTTGTTGGCCGGGACACGCTAGCATTCTGCTATTGTGTGATGTCATCACATTTTTGAACGGATTTTTAGAACAGTTAAGTGAACTTAAAAATGTAATTTTCAGCTGAGTGTATTATCTTAGCCCTCCCTTTTGAATGCAACTTTCAAATTACTTGACAAAAAATTACATCCTGAGAAAAGTAGATTTCTGGGGGTGAAACTCCCAGATGTTTGTGTGCATCTCCAGACTACAATGAACATAGTCAGGGAAGTCGCAAACTCAATGCTGGCAGGCAGTGGCAAAGCATTGATGATAATCAGAAATGTTTCTTGAGCAGGAAATCAGGCCGATCTTGAATCTGCTGTTTTTGTCAAAGATATTAGGGAAAGCAGCATCCTCTCAACCGTGTTCCTTTCCTGAAATAATTTTTTTTTTATTATTGAGACTGCCCTCATTAGAGTCACAAATGATTTGTTCTGATGAACCGTCATGCGTTTATAAATCCATTGATCCAGTCCAGCAGGTGTCAGTGTATCTACTGTTAATTCTTATATGTGAGTAAAGAAGAATGGTCTCCACATGACACCACGTTTACACTGATCTGATTCACACGGAGCTGCTAAAGCTGCATTTAATGAACAATGAATCTTTTCGATGGTTCTGTCAAAAGCAGTGATTCACCTGCGAGTCAGTCTGTGAGTAGTGTTTGTTTACCTCATGACTGAATGTTGTTTGGTGAACATATGGCAGCTGCATCACATAACGCCTTAATTCACGTGAAGAAATGTGTTTGTTTTGAGTTCAGGATGTCTGTCAGCTGAAGATCGGATTCATCGGAGCGGGAAACATGGCGTTTGGAATCGCGCAGGGCATCATCGCGTCAGGTGCAGTTTAACCGCACAAACATATTTTTACTTAAAGAAAAGCAAAACATAGATTTTACCAACACCTAACGCCCATTATATATCTATGAACCTAACCCTGATATAACCCAGTCAGATAACGTCACTTGTTGTCATTTCGAAATTTCACAGACTGACTGATGACGCGTTTTAACGGTTTTTATATTATTTATTTATTTATATATTTATTTATTTAATGTATTTATATAACACTATACTTTGTATTATATTACATTATTTTATTATATTATATACTTTATATTATATAAAAAAATATATTTAAATAAACAGTTAACGCTACTTGGATGTTCGCCAGCGTCATATGTGACGTCACGAAATGGGCGTGGCCGCGAACTGGTTGGCAGAAAGAACCAAAACATACGCAGCAGTCTATAGGTGTTTCTCAATGTCAAGGATACTTCCTTGGCAGGACGGGTCCTTCCAAGTCATTTCCTTCAGAGGCTAGGCAAGGGTCCTCTTTAGCGTTCGGAGAACATGTAAATGGAACAGGCTAGCAAGTGCACGTCATTGCGTCATTACATCAGTGAAAGGTCCGCTTCGGCGCTGCAAAAATCATTGTGCTGGTGTACTGCACTGTTTAAATACACTTGACAGTCCTTATTTTGTCTTGTCAGTCCTCATAGAAATAAATAAATAAAGGGATAATGTATAACCAGGCGGTTGTTATAGTGAATACAACCCCGCAAACTCTAAAGCAGAGGGGTCTTGATCAGCCGGTTGTATTCGCTGTAACAACCGCCTCGCTATACATTTTCCTACTTATAACATGGCTACCTACCAAATAAATCAATAATTTGACACAAAATATTGATTTAAAAAGGAGTTTATTCATTCAAAAACGATTATATTACCGGAGTTAACAGAACTACCTCCATAGCAACATGATCTAGCTGTTAAAACACATGCAATTGTAAAATATGTGACCAACAAAAAAGGCTATGAAGTAAAAATTAAAAAGTTAATCACCAGTAAAAGGGAACAGCTTTAAATCCCCTAAGCAAATTTGAGCCGATATGCAAATAGTTTAACAAACATTAAATAAATGGCTGAAATTATACTTGCTTACATTTGAAAGCATATTGCCGTTATCACTCCGACTCCGCTAACGGTCGACATTTTTTTATTTTTTGAACAAGATAGCAAAGCTGCGCATAGGATTGTGGGTGATTTAAGAGCGCGAAGGCTACACATATGCATCCTTTCCTGTGTATGGGATATTTTCCGAACGAAGGACTCAGTCCTTGGTTGAAATTCTGAGGATCCTCGACATTGGAACAGTACTTCGACGGACGTCGATGACGTAGCATCCTCGAAATTCCGGCTTCCGAGGATCCTTCCTTGACATTGAGAAACGCCTTATGTGTTCTGTCAGCAAAATGATAATTCTTTATACGAAAAAGCTAAAAGGAGATATAAGGTAAAGCTTTTATATAACCAGGGTTCATGTTCTATGCCTGATCCATATCGCCTGTGTGAGAATTGGAGCAAATGCCCTAACACATGGCCACATTTGACATTTGGCAACATCTACCTGTATCTCATCGACACGCCATCTATGTTTACCAGAAGGCGTACAAATCTTTTGTCCCGGGTTCGAATCCACTGTGAGACACCCAATGTGTCCCTGAGCAAGACACTTAACCCCTAGTTTCTCCAGAGGCGTGCGACCTCTGACATGTATAGCAATTGTAAGTCGCTTTGGATAAAAGCGTCAGCTAAAATGAATAAATGTAAAAGTGATTTTGTTGTCATGCTCTCCTGTTTTCTGTGCTGTAGGGAAGGTTCCACCCACTAATATAATTATTAGCGCTCCATCCATTAACAACCTTCCTCGCTTTCAGGTAAGGCCTATGACATCATTAACATTTTAATTATGCAGATCCTTAAAAAAAAGTCAATAAATGTTATGGTCATATTTCAACCTTGAACTAAGACAATTATTTTATCATGTTCTTCAGTGACAGGTTTGTGTCAATATTCTCACAGGAGAGAGGCGTTTCCGTCACTCACTCGAATGACGAGGTTGTCGAACGCTCTCGGTTGGTCTTCCTGGCCGTTAAACCTCACCTCGTTCCAAAGGTTCTAAATGGAATCTCACGGAATGTCACTCAGGAACACATCATCGTTTCCATGGCAGCGGGAGTCACTCTAGAAACACTTGAGGAGGTGAGGATTTATCATAGACGGTAAAAATATATGGACGTTGTGTGCGTGACATCACCCATAGTGTTTCTGAAGAGCATTTTTGAAGCCCAAAGTGGGCGGAGCCGGCTGTCGCCATCTTGGCCGTGCGTCACTCCTGGATAAACGAACATGTGCGGTGAGGCGGATTAGCTGAGGTGATGTGATGGCTTAATATCATTTAAACGAATGAGTTATAAAAAAATTCACCCCCTCACAGTCTTCATGAAGGGCAAAATTAGCGATCGACCAAAACCACTTTTTGCACCAGACTGTAAACATGTTTTATTCTGCTGTAAAGTTGGCCATTTTAACATGCGGCTCTATGGGATTGACTGTTCTGCAGCCGGCCTCTAGTGGCCAGTTGATGAACTGCAGTTTAAGTCATTTCAGTGTTGGATTCATGAGAGAGACCGGAAGAAATTTACATAGTTTATCATCACCCAAATCTAAATCTTAGTGACCAAAATGATGGCAGAACTATTGCTTTTTCTAACCTCCGAGAACATCAGATATCATTGCTGTCTGTGTCTCTAGATGTTGCCGACGGGGACACGTGTGATTCGTGTAATGCCCAATCTTCCCTGCGTGCTCCTGGAAGGGGCGCTTCTCCTCGCCTCGGGCTCGTGCGCTGGGGATGAAGAGGAGACGCTCCTGAAGACACTCCTCAGCCCGTGTGGACTGGTGGAGGCGGGGCCTGAGGCCTGGATTGACGCCCACACGGGCTTGAGTGGCAGCGGCGTCGCGTTTGTGAGTGGCAGCGGCTTCTTGCCTATGAATGAATCAGATTTTTCTATACATTTCACACACATTACTTGAAATATTCAGGGGTTTTCAAACTGGGGTCTGGGGAAACATTTAGAGTAATGCTGAAAAAAAAAATATTATAATAATAATAATTATTATTATTAAAATAAATCATTAAATATAAATTAATTAACATAAAGTCTAACAGTACTATAAGAAGTAGGAACAAAATAAAAATTAAGGATTATGAATAATATTTACACATATTTATAAAATTAATTTTCCAACATAATATAAATTGGGTTTGCTAGGGAATTCAGAGTGAAACTGTAAAATAAATAATTAATTAAATGATCAAACTAAATACA